TCCCATCAACCCTACATCAGGTTATCAAATTTCCATCACCATGGGGAATTTGTCAAATTCGTGGGGATCAACAGATGGCCAGAAATGTCAACGCTGTAACAAGTACGAGCGTCGTAAATAAAGCAAAATAGCAATTACATGAAACAGTTGAATGTAAAAAAGATCAAGCTTCAACTGAATAAGAGAAAACAGATTTGGACTCAAGGCCTGACACAATTCAAGAACCTGAGGAGGATGAAAGCATCAAAACGACGATTGAAGAGCTTGATGCAGTGATGTTATTTGATCAACAGCCTGAACGNCACGCACCTCACGTGTCTACCGGGAAGTTTTGGTCAACTTCGGCGAGACAAATTCAACTTCGGTGAATCCATAGATGTGGCTTCGATACCATGTAATCAACAAGGTATGGAAGAATCAAATTTGTATATTATTTCATGTAGTGATACATATATATACATGTACATCAGGTGCTAACTAAGGAAAGAAATAAAAGAGATTCATACAAATCTGCTATCTATATATAGGTTATGTATACTACTAAAAAACAATTTATGTTCATTGTGTAAAGTGTCTGGGTTCGTTCTGTAACACTATATATCCACCGGCTATCTTTAATATGAGAGAAGTCATTTTTTGAGGAACATTGTTACTAGTGATCAAATTAACCTTGAAGCTGAAGTAAAAATTTAGTGAAAGTCGAGTTAGTCAGAGAACTAGAAAAGAACGAAAAGCTTCAAGTTAGTTTGAACAACATTAATCTACAAGACAAAGGATCCACTATCATTTGCTGGGAAATCTGGAAATAATAGTCCTCTTGTGGGCATGGCAACAAGAAAAAATACAATAACAACACTAGCTCCTACTCCCCAATAAAGCTGGAATCAAGTCATGTGGCAAACACCTCCTACGGGCAAAATCAAAGTCAACACTGACAGTAGCTTTATCAAAGGAACTGATAGTGCTGGTATAGGGGGCATTGTGAGGGACAACAACGGCGACATAATCATGGCCTCCTCAGTGCCCATACAGAGTAATTGTATTGGAAAAAAAACTGAATTTATATTAAAAATGATGTGGCATGATACGTGGATTAGTTGAATGGTCAAAGAACAGCAATTGACTAAGAGGCACGGTGAAAACAGCCACGGGAAGAAGAATTTAAATAAACACGAGACGACGTATAGATTTGAGTCTCGTACCAATTTAAATTATTTGCATCCAACGGATTAGAAGGCATTGAAAGCAAGGATCAAATGACAGAAAGGAGCCCAAATTCATTATTAAATGTCTGATACGTTATAAAGTTGGTATTTAATAGGAATGATTGTATAACGGCCTATTTAATGTCATTTATTGCTCATGATTATATCATTAAA